GTATTGTACCCATATTTTCAGGTTGTTTTTTCCTTGGGTCTACCTGTGATCCCCCAGGCTGCCCCCAGGCTGCCCCCAGGCTGCCCCCAGGCTGCCCCCAGGCTGCCCCCTAGCCTTATTGAGAGAATTACGTTCTAGTTTAGGATCCCAATAGATCCCAAGCCTCCGAGTGTCTCGGAGGCTTGGTCTGATTTCCAGAGACTTGGAAAAACGAGATCTTATTAAGCTCAGGAATCTACTAAGTGGGACAGTAGTTATTTATACTACTATAAAAATAGTCATTTTATAGGATGAATATAAAATTTTATAAAAAAATCTATTTATACTATGTGTACTTCTATAAAAGAAACTACGATAAGCCCCTCCCCAATTTGTGTTGCAATAATTTGGGGGGGGAGGGGGGTTCTTTGGGTGGGAAAAAGAATTTTGAACCTCCAAGGAGCCCACCAATAAAATAATAATAATAATAAATGCCTACAAATTTATAGAAAATCAGATGGATATTAAGGGTAAGTAAAGCAAAAAATCACATGTCAAACTTTGGGTATACTGTATCTTCCCCCTAAATTACATACAAAATTATTATACCATACTACAGTAAAAAAAAAAAAAAAAAAAAAAAAAAAAAATATTCCTGTGAAAACACAAAAATATTGATGCAAATTACAGAAAGTTGTACATGTAGACCCATGCCTACATAGTCTTTTTGGGTACGAGCCTAAACACACACACAAACATTACTCATTAGGGTCCCGGTAGTACAGTCGGGTTTGTTAATCCCGGCCGGTAATTCCGGGTTCGAATCCCGGACGGGACAGAAATGGTTGGGCACATTTCCTTTCACCTAATGCCTCTGCTCACCTTGCAGTACATAGGTACTCGGGAATTTGTCAGCTTCTTGTAGGGTTGTACCCTCGGCAGGGTCAGTAAGTCGACCCAGGGGGAGATGAGGGGTGGGGGGACCTCGATATAAGCCTAATGTGCATGAATACACTCTGGCTTCCTGTCCCTCAACACAATTAATTTATACAAAGAACAAAGCTGCTTTATGTATTATGCGTCCAAATACTGTACTGTAGTATACCAGTAAGAGATCCAATTGTGCATTATGATACAGATAGTCAACGTACTTGCTTTGAGGTGTTTTTAAACTCTTTATTTATGACTCCTGTTAGCAGGCTGAGAGCTCTCCCTTTCAATAGCTTATAGTAAGCCTTACCTTACTAGCTTTCCCAAGAACATCAACTACTAATTGGTTAACAACCTCGTACCCAATTACTGCTGGATGAACAGGGACATACAATTAAGGATTGGTGCCTAATCAATCCTCCCTGTGCAAGATTCAAATCTAGATAAAAATTGCTCATAATGCATGGGGCTAGCAAGTTACCACTACGTCACCACTCCTTGGAGTTTATGCACTGATACCCGAGGCCTATCATATTACCCAGCTTCTAACACACTCTCTCGGCCAACCAGGCGCAGACCTCTCTTCTTCACCCCCCCCACCCCACCTCACAAATTGAGGAGCCAAAGGTGTCATTGGAGATCACACACACAGGAAAACTCCACCAAAAAGGCTTACCGTCACAAAAGCTCAAAACACATAAGATTAATACCACACAAAACAACCAAAACACCACTCAGCTGCTTCCCACTATCGTTACTAGATTGCAGTGTTAGTCAATCATTGAACATTTTGTCAAATCGTACACATGCATTTCGATGAAACTCGTGTTCTAATTGTCAAAACCATTATTTATAGTTAGGTTAAGATGACCTGGCTTAGGTTATGCAATGTTAGGCTCGATTGGGTTAGGTTAGGTTAAGTTAGGGTGAGTAAGGTTAGGCAGATTTTAAAATCCATTGGCAAACCATCTTGTGTACTATGTGACTTGTATCCAACTATTGCATGTCTGGACACCACTATCAGCTCCCACACCTCTCTAAGGTGGCAGGATTGTTCTTCCTGTTCCTGGTAGTCTGCGAGATAGTCTTAGAAGCCTGGTCAGATGATACAAGACCCTGGGGCACCAGGGCACAAACTCCAAGGAGCCAGCCACTGAGAGGGCCCCAGAAAGGTCGTCTCGTTATACTCGGTGTTCTACCTTTATTCCTAGCAGTCATACTACACTTGTTTCCTATACCAGATTAACAAATTAACCGAAAGAACATAGCACAAAAGCATCTACACAAGTATATATTAAAATTTCAGCGTAGTGAATATATATTAGCAATACTAGGTAGCAAATTATATTAGGGTAAACTTTAATATATATTTTTTTACAAGGTTAAGCTATATAACTTTAAATAAATTTAGAATACCAATTAATAAAATATCTAGCTTTAAAAATGCAGTACTATATAAAAACCTAATTTTTTTTTACATACATCTGGGTAGAATCTACCACAGTCAAGGTAGCTCAACATTTTGTACCTGCGTGGAGGGAACTTTTCAAACTATCCCCCATTGGATCATAGTGGTGCTAGAAAATACTGGTATATACTCAATTCAGCTCAGAATGTAGACAGAGGTGCTTTCCATTAACCCAAATGTCTGAAGAAAACAGAATCATGGAAAAGTGGGAAGCAAACAGCAATGAGTGCACCAAGCAGACTCGTGGAGGTGATCTAAAGACAGCGCACTGCTCAACTCAACATGCTACACACAAAGCAACAAGCTTGGCCAAGGGATCTCAAGCATGTATGTACCACAGTAAACAAGGAGGAAGTGCAATTCAAAATATCAGAATCCATAAGTGATTAAAGCCACAAAAAATGATGAGACATGATATGGATCTGCCAAGGACCTACATCACAGGAAAAGGCAGGAGCAAATGAAAATCCATTAAACATATCAAAAAAGGAACCCCCCCAAAATATATTCGGTAAACCTCTTGCCAATCTAAAACACTCGAATGACATTAATAAGCCCAATTTTCCAAGAAGAATATAAGATTGTCTACCAACCAGGAGGAACCCAGATCCTCGTAACAACCATGACGTGTCCATTTCCAAAGTAATGTTCTGGGCCATCGATAGACAAATGCCTGATTGCATTGCCACATAAAATGTGAGAAAACTAGACATTAACAAATCAATGTAAAGCACCAAAGTTCTAGCTTAAAGAAGCTAGGAACTCAAGACACGAAACCTCGCAACTGTAAAGCGCCCAACCTATAACAACACTTAGGTAATTACTGAACATGCTGGAGAGGTAACAGGGAGACTTCTGACAGGGAAGAAAAATTTTCTGACAGATGAGGGCAGTAATCAGAGACAATGTATCTGACTGGAGGAGCGTTACTAGCAGAGTACCACGGGGTTAGCTCTTGCACCAGTAATGTTCATCATCTAAATAAACTATCAACCAGAAGGAACACAGAATTACATGAACATATTTGCAGATGATGCAAAGATATTGGGGAAGATAGGAGATACAGACAATTGTAATGCCTTCAAATTGATCTATATAAAAAAGTGCTTGGACTATCAAGTGGCAAATGGAATTCAATGTGAATAAATGCCATGTTATATAATGTTGAATCGGAGAAAATAGACCACACACAACTTACAAATTACGTGGAAAGGAATTACAGAACACTAATATAGAACGAGACTTAGGGGTGGTTTTGGATAGTAAGCTGTTGCCAGAGGAACACACAAAGAAAATTGTGAGAGGAGCGGACACGTCGCTTTCCAACTTCAGACTTGCTTTTAATTATATGGATGGTGAAATACTAAAGAAACTGTTCATGACTTGTGAGACCAAAACTGGATTATGCAGCAGTTGTGTGGTGCCCAAATCTCAAAAAGCACATAAACTGGAAAAGGTGCAGTGGCATGTTACAAAATGGCTTCCGAAATTGAAAAACAAGAGTTACGAGGTGAGACTAGAAGCATTAAACATATCAAACTAAAAGAAATAGAATAAAATGAGGTGATATGATCACCATTTACAAAATACAGTACTAACAGGAATCAACCAAATTGACAAAGAGGAATTCCTGAAACCAACAGCTTCACGAACAAGAGAACACAGTTTCAAGTTAAGGAAATAAAAATGCCGAAAAATATTAGAAAGTTTTCTTTTGCAAACAGTGATAGACGATTGGAACAAGTTAAGTGAGAATGTGGAAGGTGGTGGAGGCCAAAACCGTCAGTAGTTTCAAAGCTTTACATGACAAAGAGTACTGGGAAGACGGGACACCAAGAGCGTAGCTCAGAATACAGTGTATCGTGTAACTACACTTAGGTAATTACATACTTAAATAATTAAAAAAGCAGCATTGAGGAATGTAGCATAAGCCTGCTGCACAAATGGAACAAAATCATTAAGGATAATACAAGTCATTTAATAGCAAGTACAGTACTGGTCTCTGTGTTGCTTGAAATCACTTGCCAAGGCTAGTTAGGATGGAGCACAAGGAGGTGGGGTGTGAGGGCTATGCTGTGACGTGTAGCACTGTCACCTGAATGGTAGTGACCTAGTGGTAGTTACATAGACTAGAGTGCACCTTTGTACTCTTGCCAAACTGTACCTGGTAAGTTTTGAGTCTACAGAACACATTTTGTATAGATTCTGAATTTAAGAATTTCCTAGCCTCCTTAGCATTAGTATGACTCACTGGGGAACAGTTTGAACATCAGCCTAGCATGCCTATGACAGATCTTATCCAGAGGTGAGCAGAATTTTGTCTTGGGAAGCTAAGGGGAATAATTCGGTACATATATTTTTCAAAATGTATATACCGTAATACATGTGAGATCTCAAATGAAAGAAGAAAAATTTGTTTAGTAAATCATATGATAGGTAAAGATATATACTGTATATATCCTTCCTATTATACAATTTTAATGACCATAACTGGGTATTTAAAGAACAATATGCACAGAAGGTAGAATACATACAACCTCTAAATCTATGGACAACACAGCTGCCATTATATTGCCTACAAAACAACACAGAGGAGCCTGTTATTCAAAGCTTCCTCACTTACTGAATCTTTCCTCCTGAAGGAGCTGGTGACATCAGATATTTCACTAGGAGTTGGTTCTTCAAACACTTCCGATGCAAGTTCTACAGACGACGGAGGTGGCTTGTTTTCCACGCGAAACAGAGCGTCCATTCCACCTAGACCACTGTCTGTTCGTTCTGACTCAATGTTGACCAAGACGAAGTTGTCGCTCTCAGAACTCAGGTCGCTACGAACTGAAAGAGTGTCACTCATGTCTTCTGGACTAGTTTTCACTGCAGACTCAAGGGTGGACATAAGATTTGTGAAACCACTAGTAAGGCCTTTACGCATGGAAATGAAGCCGGCATTAAGGTTGCCCTGAAGGTTTAATTGCATCAATGGGCCATTGACATGGGAATCTTCAACGTCGAAAATCTGGCCGCTACAGGGAAGGTCGGTCAAGCTAATTGACAGTTGTCTGATAGCGGCATGTTTTACAGCAGGTGACGGCGACTGTTGCTTACCTGTGCTGACTGGAGAGTGTTGACTAACCGGAGGTTGGTTTATGTTGCCATTGGCAGCGTTTGATGGCTGCCTGGTGATGGAGGTAGATGCTGGCACTGGTTGCGGTGAAGTTAGCTGATCAACACTGTAGGACTTAGTGATATCACTGGTAATAGAGCAAGCATCTATTTCACTTGCCTTCTGGACAAAACTGTGTTCTGAGGCAGAGTTTCTCACTTCACAGCTCGGAGAACCTAAGTCGTGGAGATCTGCTGTGGACGACGAGTCAGGAAGAAAACTTTCCATGTCGCCAGCGATAAAGTCTTTGCTGGGATGTGGAGGCGGCATCACTAATGACACATCCACTTGAGGCACCACAGCAGACACCACTATAGTGTCCCCCAGGTTTTCCTGAGTTAAGGCCACACCTGCCATGGTGGGGTGAGTCAGAATGTTAATCGTATCATAAGTAAGATAAGACGTGAGCTCTGTAATAACATCTAATTGTCGCATAAGGAACAGGTATTGGTAATGATTAAGCTGGGCACTGACTAGACTTGGCGTGTGAGCAAGTATGTGTGTGGCAGCTTCCTGTCGACTACCCTCTCCCTTGTCCCCTGGCCCATGAGTGGACTGTGTTTTATCCTCCCCACTACAGCCTTTGTTGGAATCTTCACTGTAATAGTTTTTTAATAAATGCCTATGGGGTCTCAAGTCTTTATCTTCACATGACTCTACACTTGATTTTCTTGAAGTAACAGAAAGACTAGATTTTGGCTTGATGTAGATCCAGAGAGAGAGAGGGAAAGCATCAACAAAAGGAACGGGTCTGTTGCGTGCCGCTGGCACCCCAAAAAAATCCACCCATAGTGGTTCACAGTGTATGAAGAGGATATCTCGTGCCTGGATCCAGAGAGCATCACGCTTCATGCCAGAGATGGCTTCATATAACCCACTCTCTACTACAGGAGCAGCTCTTACGTTATCTTCACCTGTAATAAAGAAAATAAACATACAGTATATTATAAACAATTTAGGAAATCATCTGTTGCCAAATGACAATAAAATACAATTCATGTTACAGAAACAGTATTGGATAGTCAATAGGTGATGAATGATGAATATTGCAAAAGGCATGTATCAGTACAATTAATTATCAGCATACAGTAAACCAAAATTGGAAGAAATGAGGAAGATTTGTATTTCTGAGCCTTGCCATATAAAACTACCAATTGCTAAGGTAAGATCCACAGTGCCCATAGGAAAGGATGAAGTACGGTCAGCAAAGACACCTACTATATTATTTTATTACAATTTAAAAACACTGATTTACATATTATAGTGTTAAATTGATCTCTTAATGCATTATCTATTACAGTATAGTTATAACATATCTGTTTACCTATACACATATCTCTATCAAAATGGGAAGTCTTGGGAGCAGGACGGGGAATGAACCAGAATCCTGGGTTACCCTGAGACACGTGGTAACCAGTGGACCACGATACGTTAAAAAATGACACAACCTGGAATCTGCCCGAACTCGGTAGAAATTTAGAGGCACTGAACTGATACCAAATCCAATTAGAACAAGTAACCTATATACCTCCTGGTGACCTAGGAGGCTGGTTTGATCCCGTTGTCCAGCTCCAGAGCATTTCTCATAGAGATATCATGTTATTGTGATTTCATTGTGTACAGGTGGAATTAGTTTTTGCTTGCTCATTTGCACACTAGAGAGGTAACACCTGAAGTTGATGACAGAGGTAACCCTTTATAACCTCACTATGATAAACAACCCCTCAAGTGATGAAACGCTCCAGAGGGGCCAAAGTTAGTCTGACGTAGCCATGATATTAGAGTAATCTCAAGAGTGAGCCATGCAGTGCAAGGGTTAACAAACTGTTGCAACATCACTAACTGTCCACTTCCTTAAAAAAAAAGTTGATTTTAGAAAAAAAAATATAATCACTGGTAATCTTGGACATTGGTAATGGAATTTTTATAATCCATTACGTTTAGAACATTATAAGCAACCTTAATTAACTGGAAAATATCAGTGCATGAGCATATATGGAGAGGAGAAAAAGAAAAGGCAGAAGTTGTTTCCTCACCTGAGAGTTGCTCCATGCAACACATATTGTCTATGTCCGCATATCTAACCACTCACCGATAAAATAAAAGCAATTTCCAGCTATGCTTTACTAGAGTACTTGAAGAGTTTTCTTACTCCTGATATCTTAAAGCTTATATAGTAAATTCTGCACTTATAAAATATCTTAACAAAAAACTTACCCATGGCATGCTTCACAAACTTATGGCATATGGGTTGGAAGTCTGTTGATGATGCTGGAAAAGTTGAGGCAAAAAAGAGCTCTCCTTGCTGGGCTGCCTCAAGACTAGTTGCCAGAGAGGCCAGAGACCCAGGCAGAGTTGGGTCGGCTGGTCGCATGTTGGAGAGAATGACTCGGGATGCCTGGATGTGCATAGCATGTGGACGGTCTCGCTGGTTACTGTGTTCACCCACTCCATCAATTACAGCCTGACACAAAAACACACACATCCTTGAAAACTAAAAAGTGCTGTAACTGTACTAAATAGGCTATGCCAAAAAATTACAGAATATTAAATGTCAAATCAGCTCACTAATGTTTATTTTTAACAACTACCAATTCTGAGCTATCTCACTTAGTTGCTATCAAATGTAAGATTACACTCAGTAGGAACCGTAACATGCAGTCAGGCAGACGACATTCTGATAATGTAAATGTCATGACCTTGCAAATCGTGCCCGACTGTCAACACTGATGTGTTGCCATGACACATCACCCTCTGACACCACCTGTGCAATAATTTTTTAAGTACAGTACCACTAGATGAGGAGGTAATCTTACTCTCAGTATAGACAACAAATTAAAAATAAATTTAATTATTTTAGCCCCATATAGACCAAAGATGGCACCAACATAGAGGTGCAACAGTGAACGGGACAACTTTAGCATAAAGCATTGTTATGGACAAGTAACCAGAAGAGCTTCTCCAATTAGAGTTTGGTTAAGCCTGCCTGCTTGACCCACTATGACCCACATCAGGGAAGGTTAAGTTGATTAACTAAAATGGACTCTGGTGGAGCAGTGGTAACACACTTGCCCCACTCCTTGCAAACAACTTGATATGGGATCGAGTCCTGGCCAGGGTGGAGTGTATGGGTGGTAAGCTTTAATTGTTCACCAAGATGTAATTGGGTACCTGATTGTTAACCGATTGATGGATCATGTTTCAGGAAATAACTAGTGGATAATGCTCCCCATGAGCTATGGGAAGGGAAAGCTCTCGGCCTGCTAACAGGAGTCGGAAGTCATCTACTCCTGTATCGACCTGTGTGTAAAACTAGTAGGTGTAAAACTAGTAGGGTAAGGCTCACCATGAGCTATGGGAAGGGAAAGCACTCGGCCTGCTAACAGGAGTCGGAAGTCATCTACTCCTGTATCGACCTGTGTGTAAAACTAGTAGGTGTAAAACTAGTAGGGTAAGGCTCACCATGAGTTATGGGAAGGGAAAGCACTCGGCCTGCTAACAGGAGTCGGAAGTCATCTACTCCTGTATCGACCTGTGTGTAAAACTAGTAGGTGTAAAACTAGTAGGGTAAGGCTCACCATGAGTTATGGGAAGGGAAAGCACTCGGCCTGCTAACAGGAGTCGGAAGTCATCTACTCCTGTATCGACCTGTGTGTAAAACTAGTAGGTGTAAAACTAGTAGGGTAAGGCTCACCATGAGTTATGGGAAGGGAAAGCACTCGGCCTGCTAACAGGAGTCGGAAGTCATCTACTCCTGTATCGACCTGTGTGTAAAACTAGTACCTGTAGTTGTAAAACTAGTAGGGTAAGGCTCACCATGAGCTATGGGAAGGGAAAGCTCTCAGTCTGCTAACAGGAGTCAGAAGTTGTTTCTCTACCCACCTGTGTAACAAAGAAACTCTTCTAACAACTGCATGTTTAAGCCAAAGCAGTATGTTAGGACAAATCACCATCAGTACTACAGGAGGACTGTGGCCCTCAACAAATGGGATTCTCATTACCAGTTTGTGAGTAATTAGGAAAGTAAACACTTGGGTGATATACATTACAGAGGCCACACAAATTGGTTCCAATCCTTAGTCCAGAATGACTAGGAACCTTCTCACAGTGAAGTAGTTCAGTACAATGAAGTATTGTACAAAGCACCAACATATAGCCAATAATAGTGTCTTGTGTACCATGTTCCAGAAACCATGCTAACCACAGAGATTTCCACCCAAAAACACTCAATTGTCTTTATTTTTAACTTCATAAAAACAATTTATATAACGATACCTTCTTAATTAGCTTTCAAATAAAAAATCATTAATGAACAATGATGATTTACAGCTGTAACTGAACAATTCCAGCACCTGTACCCCATACCACTACAGCAGGAGCGTCATTTACATTCCCACCCCATAACTATTTCAAGATAAATTGAAAGGAGAATGAAAAACTGAACAAAGTAACTTACTCTAGGCATGATGGCCTCTAAGTGTACATCGAGGTAGGAACTGGGCGATGGCTCGGTAACGGTGGCACGTTGCAAGCTTCGAGCAAAGGAGTTGATCCAGAGGATGGAGAGAGGATCAAATGTTACTTGTAAGGGATTCAGTTGCAGGTACAATTTGGGAGGTGGCACTGAAAAATAGAAAGGAAAATAATTTGTAACTGCAGTGTGAAAATGTATATTGAAAGTACTGTACTGTAACTATGTAAAGTAACAGTGCTTTAATATTTACTAAAACATCACATTTTAACAGATTCGTTGACTGCATACAAAAATAGTACATAATAATTGAGAGGATGGGTTAAAATTTGAGCATATAGTGCAAACCCACTCGTACAGAACTTGGTCCAACGAGAGCTCGGATGCACTGGAAAAATTCCATTTCAGTCATAAATTAGGTTGAAAATTTATAAATAAAAAGAGTGGATATGAGACCACAACTATGACTAACCTGGGAACTCTGAGTCTGCTGGATAATAGTACGTGGTAAACTCCAGGTGGAGGCTGGCCATCTGTGTAGGCAGCTTGAAGCGCTCCTTGTCCCCTAGAAAAGTTAACCATTTCTTGTCAAGTTTGCACAATAAAAAAAAATCTTATCTAAATACCTTTAATGCTTGTTTCCTCCAGAAACACCCAATCCCTGAGGGGACATGGCCTCAAATTATCTTCCCCTAAACATCTTAAGCACCTTCAGAATATTTTTCTCTCTATTGATATTCATTGCATTCACACATTCCACGACTTATTACATGAGCCACAAAATAAATCAAATCGGTGCATCAGTTCACCTTCAAGTCGTCTGCATTCTCAACATAATGCAAGTAGCAAGCACAAAAATGATTTGGCATGAACTAAAGCACTACAATTCAGGAGCCATTATTAGGAACTAAACACCAATTATATAATGAAAATATAATCCTTCACTTCATGCTTCAAGCTGAGAAAACAAAAGTATTGAAGAAATATACATAAATTCTCTGTTGTGAACAGAACTGTAGACAGTTGGCATCAGTTAAATGAGAGGGTAGGTGCTGCCATAACCATCGCAAGCTGTAAAACATCACATAAAGGTTACAGGGAAGATGGGACATCCCAAGCATAGCTCTTATTCTGTAACTACCCTTAAAATAGTTACACACAATGTACTATACATAGATTTTTCACAAACATCATGCAGTGCTACAACTATAAGTGTGTGATCAAATGGTAAAACAGACAATATCAATGAAAAACAGACAAGCAATAAGGTAGGTTGACCAGACCACACACTAGAAGGTGAAGGGACGACGACGTTTCAGTCCGTCCTGGACCATTCTCACAATCGACTTAATAATGGTCCAGGACGGACCGAAACGTCGTCGTCCCTTCACCTTCTAGTGTGTGGTCTGGTCAACTTACTTTAGCCACGTTATTGTGATGTTTCGCAAGCAATAACATAAGTAGTTAAACATTGCTGTCATTTGGAAAAACAATATAGTGAAGCTGTAGAAACATTTGAAAAAGAGTACAGTGTGACATCATAGAGCCTGCTCTTTTTGTGTATATCTTAACTAAAAATGTTAAAGAATACTAATGGGTTACTACAACACAAATACATGAAGTCGTGATGTTGGGCCCTTTGACTACCATGCACTACACCATGAGGCAAACTAAGACTCCGGTGTTAAATATAATGAAATGCCCCTCTCTAGTTTGTCCTTGGTGCTTCCATATTCCTGGGGCCAGATTCACGAAGCAGTTACGCAAGTACTTACGAACCTGTACATCTTTTCTCAATCTTTGGCGGCTTTGGTTACAAATATTAAACAGTTAATGAGCTCCGAAGCATCAGGAGGCTGTTTATAACAATGACAACAGTTGATTGGGAAGTTTTCATGCTTGTAAACTGTTCACTAAATGTAACCAAAGTCGTCAAAGATTGAGGAAAGATGTACACGTTCGTAAGTACTTGCGTAACTACTTCGTGAATCTGGCCCTGGTTACTAGCCCTTCGAAGCCACCAAGGACCCACAATTAAGAAACATTTCATTATTCAATGCTGGTTTTCTGGGAGGGCTCCTATGGTGTTAACAACCTGGAACAGAGAACCACCATAGGAGCCCTTCCAGAAAAATAATAGCAAAAAATTTAACCCACAACACTAGGGTATTTTATGACTTGTGAATACTGAAATAATGTTGCCATGCACTAGATCTATCCTTGAGCAATCTCTAACATATTTAGTTAATGACAAAACATTATTCGTGAAGGGGACTACAAGGCGAGCACACCAGAGGTAGTATCTACAAGCGTATCAAATCACCTGTTTTCTTCCGTTGTTTTTTGTTGTGTCCAGCTTTATGGTGTTGGGAAGTAAGAGACAGTAAAGTTAGAATAAAACAGCATGACAGTCTAGGAAAAGTAGGCAGTCTGGGATTCAACACGTAAAAGGCTTGGCAATGCATAATTTTAATAAGATGACACCAGAGACGACGACTTGTATGACTAATATTTTACATTGCTTCCGTTTTTTTAACCCTTATTAATAATTCTATTATGTTTTAAGTCGTCATCTCTGCTTCAGATATCATATTCCAAGTCATTGTTGTCGTCTCTGTTTCAGACTAAACATTCATGCAAAACAGGTTACTCAGGGTTGGTATATGAGAATGCAATATGTCTTAACAGTAAAGAAAGCAAGTTAAAAAAGCCATTTTATTACTTATTGCTGCTTCCCTAACTGTCTAATTTTGAATAATCCATAAGGATCAATATTAATCACTTGCAATGCAAATAAATACAAATGTTAAACAGGAAACTTTAATTTTCAATGTTGGTCATTCCTTACATTATTTTTATGAACTTTCTAAATGGTAGCTTATACAGTGCAAGACAATAGAATACATAAAATAAAACCCCACTTTTAAGTGGCTTAAACTAGACCATAAATATATTAACCTCTCAGCTTGATGTGGCTTATACTAAACTATAAAATACATTACTTAATGTTCTCACTTGTAGAGAATTGAAATTGAAATTGAAATAAGTTTATTGAGGTAAAATACACACAAAGGGATGAGGTAGCTCAAGCTATTCTCACCCCGTTCAGTACAACGTGTTAGTACATACATAGACACACATCACAAACAATAAACCTGTTACCAAACATTCTGAGAGATAAACATGTACATTTCCTCCTTCACAAGTAGTATGGTATCAGACGTACACAAATACTTTTATGACCTAGTTATACGGATAATTCAACAAAATATTACAGTCTTGGTGCAAAATTCTTATATCTCTCAAGAATATCATCAACCTTTCCTTTGTGACACATCCAGGCTATTTGCTCAGGAACAGTCCTTATCTCAGTGTTTCTATATACATTAATCAACGGACAATCAAGAACATAATGGGCAAGGGTGTGAGACCTTAACATACCACATAGTTTACACTTCGTGTCATTATCATGAACACCTATCCCATATTCCCAGTAATATTTGTACCCAAGCCTGAGCCGCATGTACACAGAGTCACTCCAAGCATTTCTCCTTTTACCATAAGTGAAATGGGTGTTTTGACTCACATACATGTAGTGTTGCATGGTTAGACTTCTCTCATACATTATCCCTCTCCTCTCCACTCCTGCCCGTGCCTGAATATTTCTGATTTTGCTTCTTATTTGTCTCATTGTGAATTCACATTCAATGTCAATTTGTGGTTTTGATGTGGCACGTTTGGCCAAGTCATCCGCCACCTCGTTGAGCACTATTCCAACATGAGATGGAATCCACATGAATTTCACACTATGACCTTTCAGCTGTATCTCAGTTATTCTTCTCTTACAATCCTCAACTATAGACATGAAGACTGGGTTTCGACTGTTTAAGGACTCCAGTGCTCCTCGGCTATCGACAAATACAAAAACATTTTTGTCGTCATGACGTACTTCCTCCAAACACGCCAGAATGGCCTGCAGTTCAGCTTGTGTGGATGATATATAATTACTAAGCCGGAGTTCAATTATCCTGTCCACAGTCCCAAACTCCGTATATTCCCTTATTAGGACACCACACCCTGCCCTGCCATCCTCCGCCACCGACCCGTCGCAATATACATGTAAACTGTTGCCTCTTGGTAACCGAGATATCATGCTTCCATACAAACACCGTAATTGTCCCGGTTCATGATGAATTTTTTTCACCTTGAGGGGTACAATTTCGACGTCTATTTTCTGTACTTTCCAGGGAGCAGACATATTACACTGTCGAGAGGGTTTACAGCAGTCAAGTACATCGTATGAGGTCATGAGCTAATCCCCTCGTGTAGCGTGTCTCCCTCAGTTTCCTGGAAGTGTGTACGTCACTCAAGCAGGTCTGAACGCTCTCAAACAACTTATCCCCTCCTTTTCTCCGCATGAAACGAATAGCTACTCTAGTGTTAATGTCACGGACTCTATCACACACACACTGTAAATTTAATTCCATTCTCATTATTTCAATCATTGCATTTCTTTGACATCCAAGAATAATCCTCATAGCCTCGTTCTGTATCAGCTCTATTTTTTGAATTCTGCCTTGGCCTGTGTAAGACAAAACGGGTGCTGCGTAGTCTATCAGGGACCGAACAGTGCTTATGTATAACATCCGTAAGATAGGTACCCCAACACCTTTACCAGAAAAAGCCAGTGCTTTTAGAGGATGCGGTACTTACCAAATTAAGATACTTTTAACTTTGAACTTGTGAGGCCTGTACACACATCACTAACACTGTGACTTGTGAAATGTCATTTTTTTTTTAGATATGTAACCTTAAATTTAAACATTTCTGCCATAAAAAGCCAGCATGAATGTAATGAAATGCCATTTTTTGGATTGAGCCCCGGAGGATTCCTGCAGTATTGGACTGATATCCGCCATATTAGTCTATAGCATCAGTTACTGGAGTCCATATGCCTACCGGGAACCACGAGCCATAACCTGGTGTCCTCAGAGAGGTGAAGGGAGCAATGGCTTATGAACACTCCACTGTTTGAGAGTATAGTCATGTCTGCCATCGACTTGGGGTATCACCCAGAAAGGTAGGCAAACTATTACAAGCCCCAACTAGAAAAAACATTGCAACCCAAGACTGAATAGAGGCTAAAAACTCTCTCTCTCTCCCCCCCCCCCCCCCAAGAGAAAACAACAAACAAGCAAGCAAATGTTTACTCAACCAGTTTGCCCACTCATTGGCAACCCCCCTCCCTCCCCAGGAGGGGTTCTCTAGCTATCTAGATAGCGATCTATCTAGCTATCTAGATAGCGATCTATCTAGCTATCTAGATAGCGATCTATCTAGCTATCCAGATAGCTAGATCTGATAGCTGCAGGGTGCCAATGGGGCTCCTCCCATAAAAATAATAAATTATCTAACTACACACACCGCACCGCACTAAAGATATAGAACCCTTTGTTGTAACTACCTGATACACAAGTGTGGATGAATTCACTACAAAAACTTCACTGAAATAGTCCCTTAAAATCACTTAAGATAACTTTAGGTAACGGAATAATATAGAAAATGACCCCTTAGAAAGTTAACATGGACACGACTAAAATAAAATCATATTTTTTAATGATAAATACTGTAATTTAAATCAAGCAAAAATAGTTAAAAAGTGATGCTTTTTGAGTACTATATATGTTGGACATGAAGCATGCAATTTTCTGCAAATTTTCTAAAATCATGCTAATATTTCAGATACTTTTACTTCTGAATAACATAGATCAACAAAATATTTTACAGAAAACAAACTTACAAAATATCACTAAGAGAAAACACATGATGTTAGTGTGTTCGGATGAAATAAATGCCATTACCATATCTCAACCACAAAATCTTGCATTACTTGATCAAATATTGAAGCTGTGGGATCAAATCTGCATCCCTGTATTCCTCAGCCATATGATGGGCTTAAACGTATCTCAAACAGAAATACTATGTGACTTTTTTTTTAATAGACATATCACATTCTTGTAATTTCATTGTCTTGCAACACATACATACTTAATTAACACTCTTTTAAAGATCCACAAACTAACTTCCTCCTGATGTGTTGCCATTCATACAAGAACTTCTAAACTATTTCCTAGCACACATCCTTCCCTCTGCCTGCCACCACCACCACCTCTTCCATCACTGGCTATAGAGGCAACTCCTGCCTTTTTAAATATTTCTTCATTCCTCCAAGGAACAGGCCAAGCTCTGCATAAAGTATGGAAGGCAGGTTTGTGTGTGTTCAGAGTCAGACAGACTGGCAAGTGTGTAATTACTTAAGTGCAGTTACAGGATGAGAGCTACGCTCGTGGTGTCCCGTCTTCCCAGCACTCTTTGTCATATAACGCTTTGAAACTATTGATGGTTTTGGCCTCCACTACCTTCTCACCTAACTTGTTCCAACCGTCTACCACTCTGCGAAAGTGAATTTTCTTATATTTCTTCGGCATCTGTGTTTAGCTAGTTTATATCTATGACCTCTTGTTCTTAAAGTTCCAGGTCTCAGGAAATCTTCCCTATCGATTTTATCAATTCCTGTTACTATTTTGTATGTAGTGATCATATCACCTCTTTTTCTTCTGTCTTCTAGTTTTGGCATATTTAATGCCTCTAACCTCTCCTCGTAGCTCTTGCCCTTCAGTTCTGGGAGCCACTTAGTAGCATGTCTTTACACCTTTTCCAGTTTGTTGATGTGCTTCTTAAGATACGGGCACCACACAACCGCTGCATATTCTAGCTTTGGCCTAACAAAAGTTGTGAACAATTTCTTTATTATATCGCCATCCATGTATTTAAAAGCAATTCTGAAGTTATAAAGCGTGGCATAGGCTCCTCGCACAATATTCTTTATGTGGTCCTCAGGTGATAGTTTTCTATCTAGAACCACCCCTAGATCTCTTTCTTTATCAGAATTCTTTAAAGATTTCTCACATAATATATAGGTTGTGTGGGGTCTGTGTTCTCCTATTCCACATTCCATAACATGGCATTTATTAACATTAAATTCCATTTGCCAAGTGGTACTCCATATACTTATTTTGTCCAGGTCATCTTGAAGGGCATGACAATCATCTAAGTTTCTTATCCTTCCTATTATCTTAGCATCATCAGCAAACATGTTCATATAATTCTGTATACCAACTGGTAGATCATTTATGTAGACAATAAACATCACTGGTGCAAGAACTGAACCCTGTGGTACTCCACTTGTGATATTTCTCCAGTCCGATACATTGCCTCTGATCACAGCCCTCATTTTTCTATCAGTCAGAAAATTTTTCATCCATGTTAGAAGCGTACCTGTCACTCCTCCAATATTTTCCAGTTTCTAGCACAACCTCTTATGTGGAACTCTGTCGAAAGCCTTTTTTAGGTCCAGATAGATGCAGTCAACCCAACCATCTCTTTCCTGTAATATCTCTGTTGCTCGATCATAGAAACTGAGTAAATTCGATACACAGGATCTTCCAGATCGAAAACCATACTGTCTGTCTGATATTATATCATTTCTCTCCAGGTGTTCTACCCATTTAGATTTAATTATTTTTTCCAATATTTTGACTATTACACTTGTCAATGATACCGGTCTATAATTAAGGGGGTCTTCCCTGCTTCCACTTTTGTAGACTGGAACTATGTTAGCCTTTTTCCACACATCAGCTACAACTCCTGTAAACAGGGATGCCTGAAAAATCAGTTGAAGAGGAATGCTGAGCTCAGGTGCACATTCTCTCAGAACCCATGGTGAAACTCCATCTGGACCAACTGCTTTGTTCTTATTTAGCTCCTTGAGCATTTTTTCCACTTCGTCTCTAGACACCTCTATGTGCTCTATGTTGTTCTCTGGAATTCTTATTGTATCTGGTTCCCTGAAGATTTCATTTTGTACAAACACACTTTGGAACTTTTCGTTTAATGTTTCACACATTTCCTTTTCATTTTCCGTGAATCTATTTCCCATTTTCAACCTCTGAATATTATCCTTTACCTGCAATTTGTTGTTTATGAATTTATAGAATAGACCTGGTTCTGTTTTACATTTGTCTGCAATCCCTTTTTCAAAATTTCTTTCTGCCTCTCTCCTCACTGCCGTGTAGTTGTTTCTCACATCTTTGTACCGCTGGTATGTTTGGGGGTTTGGCCTCTTCCTGTATCGATTCCATTTTTGTGTCTTTTGGTCTCTGGCCCTCTCGCACTTTCTATTGAACCAATCCTGTTTCCTAGTTCTTCTTCTCTGTTTTGGTATAAATTTTTTTGTGCCTTTATTATATATTTCACAAAACTTGACATACATCTCATTCACTTCCTTGCCTAGCAAGTCTGTCCAATTATACTCACTAAAAAATTTTCTAAGGTTGCCATAATGTCCTCTCCTAAAGTCAGGTTTTTCAATTGCATCGACCATCATATTTTCTTCCTGATTATAACGCATTGCATACTTTATTCCCAAAAAGACATGGTCACTTTTACCCAAGGGAGGAAGGTACTGAATGTCAAATATTTCTTCCTCCTTCCTGGTAAATATCAAATCTAGCATGGAGGGAACGTCCCTTTCCCTCATCCTCATAGCTTGTTTAACATGTTGATACAAGAATGTTTCCAGGATGAGGTCTACAAATTTACAGGTCCAAAAATCTTCTGTTTTAGCTTCATATGCTTCCCAGTCTATGGATTTCAAGTTGAAGTCGCCGACTATGTTTCTCGCGTGCATGCGTGTGTGCGTGCGTGCGTGCGTGCGTGCGTGCGTGCGTGCGTGCGTGTTCGTTCAGTCAGACTAAGTTTCAACTTTTAATTTTCATTTTTTAGCTCCTCTTGCTAATAAATTTAGCTCTTTTAGAAGAATCTCATTTGGCATTACTTCTTCTATCTTGCAAGAGCTTTTGTGCATAATCTGTGGTGTGGATAAGTGGTGCTAAAGGCTGGTACATTATACCTGGACACATGTACAGGTATCTGTAAGTAGTGATAACATGATAACACGTGTGGCAATGGATGAGAAGTACATGCACATGCAGTGTTCTGACCTATTTGATATTAAAGGGCACAGCAGCAGTAGACAATAATTAAGGAAGGTGCTACCATGGATGATAGAAAAATTGCCACAAATGAATAGTAAACAAACGATATGTGACAACTATAGGAAAAAACTAAAAGGGATCGTGTTAGTGAGGAAGACCCAAGCACATCATTTGATGAAGATAGTGACATGGAAGTGGACACAAACAGCACTGAATCAGCTCTACAATCAATGAATGCAAATGTAAGTGGTGTTGGAGTATCACCTATCAAGAGGAAGAGAATGAAGGAACATACTACAGAAAAAAAGCTACTAAAATTGCACAAGCTATAAAAAACAAGATACTGCACATGCCAGCTGAAGTGCCTGTGCTTGCTGGTTATGGTGTGTGGTGGAGGCAGCGGTGACAGAGGCAACACATAAATGTGCAAAGATGATCACAACCCATGTCAAAGTAACTTCATAAAAACCAATAAGCTTTCTCCACTTCATACTTACTTGTTTAAGGCTCTTCATAAAAATAAAATACCACTTAATAGGCTCAAGATTAAAAAACAACAAGAAAGATGGATATAAAATGAATCATATACTGTATAATAATATTTACCAGAGATAAATTCCTTCGGAGCTTGTTTTCGTTTAGAAGTCGATACTCTATAAACACAATAATCATTGATACGAAGCACACAACACGATGACATAAGCTGCCGAAGTTGTGTAGCTACCACGCACTTCAGAGGGCTACCCTGGGTTGCACCACCACTTTCACCAGGCCCTGTACGACCACCCGGAGTCTGAAAACAGGATATAGTATAGTACATCAATTATACCTTATCATAGAATAATATATGATGCTACTGGATCTTGGCTCCATGAATGATTACAATGGAAGTTTAATCCTAAAGGAGAGATTTGCTCTTATTCTGTGGGTTTAATTGATCAATGATATGCTTCACAGACTAAATACAAGTAACATCATACACAAGACAATTCGGAGATTTTTAAAACTACCTTACCTAACCTAATCTAACCTAATCAAAACCAACCAAATCTATCTCAATTGAGCTCAATGCAGTCTAAGCTAATACATCCTAGACTAACAATATACTGAATATGGGCTTAAATGCAATTCAGTGCTTTGAAAGTGACAATTGACGTGAAGTTGTACAGTGAGGCCTTTCTGACGTCTCAAGTTGCTGTTTCAGCATGTTTTAGGCTTTTATTTCGTTCTCACAGGGATGATTGGCTGCACGTTTCCTCCGTGTTCATATTTCGGGCTCCAGACTTCCCCCCCAGATGAATTGTAAATATTTGTTTCTTGTTACCAGTGGAGGGACAGTCGAGCTTTTTAGACTACTTGCAACTTTTTCATTACCTTAGTGTGGAAAAGGCAAGGACCAAGGTTGGGTGGAGGCAGTTTGTAAGGAGGAAATAATGTATTAGTTTATGCAGATTATGACAATTTATGGATGGGGGAAAATCAAGGGCCACAAGTCTGATTCCTTCCCATGGCATCAATATTTACTCATAGATTCATCACTACTCCCAGGTCCCAAGCATGTGCCTGGGATTTCAGGATCACGGGTTTCAGGATTCTAGGAGCCGGTGGCTGAGCGGGCAGAACACTGGACGCGTGATCTTATGGTCCCGGATTTGATCCCGGGCGCCGGCGAGAAACAATGGGCAGAGTTTCTTTCACCCTATGCCACTGTTACCTAGCAGTAAAATAGGTACCTGGGTGTTAGTCAGCTGTCACGGGCTGCTTCCTGGGGGTGGAGGCCTGGTCGAGGACCGGGCCGCGGGGACACTAAAGCCCCGAAATCATCTCAAGATAAATTCATTCCACTCTATGGTATTAATATTTATTCATAGATTCCTCATGTTCTTGTGATTTCATTGTCCACTCTGGCATTATTGCCAATCCCTTAAGCCAAGAGTCAAAGAATATTACATGTACCATAACACAGTGGATGTGGCCACACTTCATGCAACTTGCCATAAACTACTTCCAGTTATAGCACACTCTTCCTTTGTCTAAAATTTAGAACAGTGCAATAAAGTCCAGACCTTCGAGTGTTCAGAGATCTTGGCCACTGCCGTATTTTGAGAACCCTGGCCAAAATATATATATAAAAAAAATTTGGCAATCAGGTAATATGAAGATATTTTTTCCTTATAAAAAATTACTAAAACACATTTTGCATATGCACTAATTTTTTGGGGGAAGAATAAAATTGTTGTGCAATACTGTACCTCATATGATGTTGAGCATACAGTAGTTAGCACAATTACCATTATTGGGGACAGGAAACCTGTATTTAGGTTGACTGAGGTTTCCCCTAGGCCAACTACTGACCATCCCCAGGATAGAACCAACAACAACTGCTTAACTCCCGGATACTTATTTTCCATCTAAGTGAAAGGAGACTTGCCCAACCATTCTGTCCTGCCCGGGGACTGAACCCAGGTCCCTCAGTTGTGAGTCGAGGATATAGACTCCTGTGCTAAAGGACTCTTATATCAAGCCAAAGCCAATATCTTTGACGTACCTGGTATGAAGCATCGTGTCGTGTATGCGGAGGAGCACGAGAGAGAGGCGTGTGGGTGGATCGACTTGAGTTCAATGTGTCTGTAAGCAGAGTCTTAAACTGTGCTAAGGCAGCCTGAGCCCACAATGCTGGCCCACAATCCACACAATATCTGTAAGACATCACAATGTTTGTTTAACACTATTGTAATTAGCTACTTGCAAGTTACAGCAAATATTTCTAAACTTCTGTCCATGAGTAATGTTTTAGGGTCCTACTTGACATATTATCAAGCAAATGTACTACAACTTCATATAATTTTATAGGACCTTTGTACTGTTGCGGGTAGTATTCTGGGGAAGGTCAGTAGCTGACCTGGAGGGTAGGGTGGCATCGATAAGTCTAAGTATGGGTTTCCTGTCCTCAACAATGGCAAATAAATGGCAGGCCGACTGGCCGTTCATCAAGAAATTCATGGAATTTCACATCAATGAACAATAGCAGTATTCATACACCTAACATAATGGCCAGCATCTGCATCATCACATGACCCATATGCTTCAGCATCTGAGGGCAGCCAATCAATCTCCACTTCAGGCAACTGTAAACAACTTAATACATATCAACCACAAATTCCATGTAAACAATTTTGCACCATCCACTAATCTAAAATGATCAGAACTTACCATATTGGTGAGAATTTTTTTTTATTATTTCCCCAAGCAAGATTTTGAAGATAATGATCTTGCAGGATTTTTTGGCCGGTCTCAGTCAAGGGACAAAACTGTTATTTGTATGTACAGTATAAGGTATATCCAGAATGGATTTTTATGACTGGATAATAAATGTTACACATAACTGAAGGATGTATATATCTATAGAGATGTAATGGCAGCAGCTGCTGACCAAAATTAATTATTTAATGAAATAACAGTGAAGAATTTGTTTTCAAGAGTACTGCTACAATAATACAGAGGACCCTCCAAACTCCAGTTCGTACTGTTCTTAACCATGATTCGTATTGCAAATACAGATAATCTAAATTTCTGAATATGTAATGCCCCTCTTTTGCTCATTTATAACCCAATTTTTCTGGATTTCTCTATATGATAAAATATTTGTATGCATATCTGCATACAAATAATACTGTATATAAAACCAGCGTTGAATGTAATGAAACGCCATTTTCTGGGTGAGTCCCGGAGGCTTCCTGAAGCTATCCAAACTGATATGTGCCATATTAGCTCGGTGCCATCAGTCACAGGAGTCCTTATGCCTACCAGGACCACGAGCCAGAACCTGGCCCCCTCAGAGAGGCACAGGGAGTAATGGTCTATGAGCACTTTACATTTAAAGTACTGTGTGACATAATTGCCACTGACCGGGAAAGGACCCAGAAAGGTAGACGAATGAAAACAGACCACTGTCTGGTTGACCTGTGCAATCCACATTCAAAAAGATAAAAATAACTCCCCTAGAAAGAAACCCAACAAGCAATGCTTCATGCAACTAGCACTCTTGCTCATTAGCACTAACCTTCCCCTCCCATAGGGGATGCCGGGGAGCTGGCAGCCAACCACTCCAGTTCTTGAACGATGAAAACCGCCGACCGGAAGGAGGGAGGGTATCAGAGAGCCTCCGGGGCTCACCCAGAAAATAGCTTTTCATTACATTCAACGCTGGTTTTCTGTGGGGACCCCTGTCAACTCTGTGAAGCTAACTACCCAAAGATAAGTAAAAGGAGGGACTTACCTGGGAGACAACAGCACCACAGGTCTCAAAACCAGGAAGAGATAGACAGCCGCGACAGGCACCCCGAAGCCACACACGGCGGGGAGGGAGGGAACCGGAACGTTCATGAGATACCTGGTGGCCAGAAACCTGTTCAACTTTCAAAACACCCGTGCCAGAATCTCGACCCAAGACATGTTGCCAAAAACCGCCACTAGGGGAGCATACTTCCGAACATCACGGGTACGAGGGAAGACTGCAGGCTGGCTAGATTTGGTGACACTGCAGACAACCTGAAACACAAGAGCCCTTGAACATGTAACCCTTGAACAGCAGCAGCTCCACCAACACAGCATGATACAAAGAGACAGTATTAGGCATGAGATGCCGATCCAGAAAAAGCCTAGAGAAAGGACAAAACAACCTGGACTAAAATCGACAAAAACCGACGAAGATAAAGAAAATGATGCAAAGACTGCCAAGAAACTTCATACTGTTGCTGAGACGAAGACCTCAGGTGGGACACCATCAAAGAAGCCACCTGATCACCATACAAATGGCAATACATACACGACAGAAAGACCAGACGTGTCGTGCGGAGCAATAAGGTGAACCAGCAAGGTACCTCACTGACCCGACCTGCTGAAAGAGGTGGAGCCACAGAAAAATGCCCAGGTTCAGCAACTCGAACCATCACACTCAGAAACCCAAGGTTCACAATCTGTATAGCAAAATTTTTGCCAAAATTATAAACAACAAAATTGCTGATCTGAGAGGAGGGAAGAGCAGGGGTACCAAAAGCACTGGAAAATTACATGCAATGTATGATGAACCACACGAAAAAGTCATCATACTGTACTGAACAAATCCACAAGGGCCTTGATGGGGGTTTGAACTTATGCATGGGAAGTTCCCAGAACATCCATAACCCCATTTAAGTCATCATATTCATTTGCATTTTTTCCCCAGTAGCAAACATCCAAGCAAAAGATGAAGGTGTTCGATGCAAGAGAGACGTAAATCACACAGCCAAACATGGTAATATTAATACGGAAAGGGAAGGAGGGGACAAACCCCCTCCCTCTCTTACAGCAAAAACCCCTGCCCAGACAATACAAGGGCCCAAGCAGGGACAAAGGGAGCCCAAGCACTCCAAGCAGACTCCCCCAAGCCCCGGGAACCCCCAACACAGGCCCCGGGGCAGAGCCCTCTTACATGCCCCATCGTCCCTGAAGAAAAGGCAGCATCCAGGGGAACTCTTCCAAGAAGGGAGTCTGCTGGGTTGACCCAGAAGCCTCGGCGGGGAAAATCGGTCTCAACCACCTCTGCGCCTGAATCGAAAGGGGCAGCCCCTAAACCACCCGAGCTAAACTCTGCCCAGACTCCAAAGCCCTCAGATGTTTGGGAATCCAATTTTCACCGAAAACCATCTGGCATTCAATTTTTTCCCCTCAGAATAACTTGAATTTCAGACTTGAACACCAATTTAGAGGAATCCACTATATGGAGGTCAAGGGTTTGGAAGGGTCCTCTGTAAAGTAATGACATACTGTACATACATTTACCACATAATGAAATAAATATTTGTGAGTAGAAGATAAGCCAACCCATCCTCTCAACTACTAGGTCACTTTTCATATGTTATGGAAACCAACGTTACAAATGCAACCTACCGAGAATAACGAATCACAAATATCTAGGGTTTTCTATACATTGGACTCGATAGGTCAGGCAACTGCTAGAGATCGTGTGTTTCTGGTTAGTTTCAGAGGTTAGATTTTTCTTGACATGGCAAATCAAGACGAAAACTACTACAGCAATGGCATCAACAGCCTACTTTTCCCCCTCACCCTTATATTATAAGTCATAAAGTACACACTTTATCCAGTGTCCTCTGTCACCAGCAGCCAGATGGTACGGGTAGAAATCCAGCTCTAGCTGACACAAGGCAACCTGGAGGGCAGCGCCCGTCGACAAATCTGGGTGACCCGACCGTCCCGCTGAAATCACAATTGTTTACATTCAATGACATTTTGCACTCATAAATGCATGAAAATAGACCATATCACCAGCCACATCACATATATATATCCTATACAATACAGGATAAAACATTAACATTTTCACCAACCTAGTATTATTTGGTGCCAATGTGCTGCACTAACAGTTAAGCTTCTCAGGCAATATACAAAGAGTATTTACTAAACTGTTTTAGTCATTTTCACTAGAGCATCTTTCCTTAGCAATTTCAAAAGTTACTTAAGTCACTCAGCCAATAATACAAATATTGTATTGATCTTCTACAACAACAAGTTCATTCATTAAAACTGTTAAATATACAAACAATTACAATGAAACAATTGCATCGTATACAAAACACTGAGGAACTAGGCCCAGGCATCAATGCTATAAGAATATTTAATTACGAAGAAAATATTTGTTAAAATCCGACTCCACGGCACAGTGGTGTGGACCGGGGGTTACGAAGGCTGGATAGATTAAAGGGAAAAAATCAACCCTTTGAGGACAGTATTCCTGAAACTTTGTTTCCTTCACACGACTGATTTTTGGTTAAATTTATAAAAACATATACAGTATGTACAATAAAATTTGATATGACAAAAATGTACAAGAATTAACAATGGCATTTCTTACCTAAAAAATTTCCATATTAAAATTTGTTAAATGTTAAAGCTTAAAAAAATACAAAAATTGTAATATAAGTAAAGTAAAAGTAATTTGTAAGATATGCATATAAACAATTTTATTACTGCACATTGGCAATCCTACCAAGATGTTGCCAGGAAAATGCTATGACAATGTTTCAACACGGCAAGGAACATTTGTACAAATGTGCGACACTGTTAATGTGTGTATTTGTGAGGCATTGCGCGCAAAATTATAAAACCTGGACATGAATGATGACAGGAAAACAGCTGTCTGTACCATTATAAGATCCAGCCTGATAAAACTGCCTACGTACTCGAGTAATAGTAGTTGAACCGTCCACAAAGGGTTATATACAAATAAAAATGGAAACACATCTAAATGAATTCAGTTTGCAAGTGTCATGGCTACACACACACACTGGGTGCTGGGAAGACGGGACACCACGAGCGTAGCTCTCATCCTGTAACTACACTTAGGTAATTAAATACACACACACACACTCACACCATCAAACACCACCACCAAAGGTAGATTATAATTGAAGATGCGTCGTGTATGTCATTGCTGGTTAAATGAAGAGAAAAGAAATACGATGAAATACTTTATCTAAAACTGTTTCTTAGCAAGAAACAGTTTTAGATAAACAGTACAGTATTTTGTTTTCTTAAAACAGAAAATATCAGAAATGCCTGTCATTAATTTTTCTCAATTTGCCAGTCATAAATACATATGAAAATAAACAATTAGGCCAACCTTTCATTCGTGTTTTCTAAAAATTTCAAGCACTCTAAATTATTACTACCAATGAACTACAGTACAACAAACATTTCCATTCAGTTACTGAAAAAATCACACTGTACTGAAGATTTTAACACGTTATAACAAATCTATTAATTGAAACTAATAAGAGAAAAACTTATAGCCAGTGGATTTTAAAAAAATAGATACTATACAAATTTAACTTTTAATTCTTATAATTAATCTGTTTTGCCGGGGGAGAGGAATCCTGTGTATTTGAATACTTTAGGGTTAAATGGAGGTCTCCTCCCCCCAATGTTGAACTACTGTACTGATGTTCCCAGCATGAAACCCCCCATAACAGTTACTTAACTCATGGGCACCTAGTGACTGCTGGGTGAACACAGGCATTAGGTGACAGAAAATATTCCTAACCATTTCTGTCTTGCCCGGGAATCGAACCCAGGAACCGAGAATGATGCCAACTGTACTTCGTGAAAGTACTATCACAAGAAGATTAAAAATGTTATACATCTTCTCCAATAGTTCACAGATTTTCATGTTATAATCAATCAAATCTTATTATAAACAATGTTGTTATTTGAAATGAATGATAATTTCCCATTGAACATTTATAGTCTTTCATTCATTTAGATATACTGTTGCTTCAGCCCTAAAATGGCTACTAAAATTAATAACCACTTGAAAAGTTTGTAAAGATTCCACATTATTTTTTAAGTCCTCGTGGGAATGTCAAAACTCTGATTTATAGATATTAAAAGATAAATAACATTAAACAGTTAAGGGAAAACAGTTTAAGGAAATTAAGTCAATGGAAAAAAAGTAACCTTTGGCAGCCAGTAGATATTTTTGCAGAATTATCACTTTCAGGGATAAGAAGCCTGTACTTAGGCATAACAAGTTACCCCTAAGTCAACTATTGACATAACTCAACAGTTGCCTAACGCCCAGGTACCTATTTACTCAAAAGTGAACAGAACCATCACTAACAAGGAAACGTGCCTAACCATTTCTGTCCTACCCAAATCCTCGATTTCTAGTCGAGAATATGGAGCTGTACTACAGGACGCACAACTCCCTATTACTTTTGTAAATCTATGTGCTTTGCAATCATGATATTTGCAACTGAAAGAAAAGTTAATTGACTAATGGTACAAATTTGATAAAGCAATTCAGCATAATGTGCCCCACAATTCCTCTCTGCTTCAATGAAGACTTTATGCATATTTCTGGTTTAGCCTCACACCTGATGCCCATATCTGTGAAAACAAAATTTCAATCAAGTATTTCCATCATATATTAATTTTAAATTTGTTCTCAACACAACCGTATGAAAAGCTCAAACGAAAGGAGCTTAAAAATGTACATGAAACACAAGAGTTGTTTGCATTGTTATGGGTGAGTTTACAGACGAACAGGTGCATTTGGTTAACGAGTGTCTGGAACACGACAGATCTTTGTGCAACCTGGGGAGGGAGGTCGGCCGAGTGGACAGCACGCTGGACTTGTGATCCTGTGGTCCTGGGTTCGATCCCAGGCGCCGGCGAGAAACAACGGGCACAGTTTCTTTCACCCTATACCCCTGTTACCTAGCAGTAAAATAGGTACCTGGGTGTTAGGCAGCTGTCACGGGCTGCTTCCTGGGGGTGGAGGCCTGGTCGAGGACCGGGCAGCGGGGACACTAAAAAGCCCCCGAAATCATCTCAAGATAACCATCTCAAGATAACCATCTCAAGATAACCATCTCAAGATAACCATCTCAAGATAACCATCTCAAGATAACCATCTCAAGATAACCATCTCAAGATAACCATCTCAAGATAACCATCTCAAGATAACCTGACAGCCGAGTGGACAGCGTTTAGGATTTGTAGTCCTGAGGTTCCGGGTTCGATCTCCGGTGGAGGTGGAGACAAATCGGCAAAAAGTTTCTTTCACCCTGATGCTCCTGTTCACATAGCAGTAAATCGGTACCTGGAAGTTAGACAGCTGCTATGGGCTGCTTCCTGGAAGGGGGGGGGGGTAACAAAATGGAGGCCTGGTCAAGGACCGGGCCGCGGAGACGCTAAGCCCCCAAGATCATCTCAAGGTAACCTCAAGATAACGTGTCCTCTCGCTTAATACACCACATTTTTAACCAGACAAATCTGCTAAAAATGCGATGTAATGTATTTGTAACAATTAAAGCCACATAATAATGACATTTTCTATGCCTCAGCCTTAATGGGTTAGGTGGGTTGCTGGGGTTCATACATTTGTGGTTAGACAAAACAGTTGCATTTTGAACAGAGTAGCAAATTGAGAAAACTGGCTAGATTGTGAACAATGAGAGCCATATTTACTCAGGATTACAATCATTCCCATCACAGCTGCAGACAAAAAATTATATCGCCTCAGTCATATACATACTCATAACTACAGGTATATGTGCAACACATTCCATCAAAAATGCATAAAGGATGTATGCAAAATGCATACAAAATGCAATAGGATTTCATAAACTCTTGAGTACAGTATCTTGAATTTTTTTGTATATGGTTAATAAAATTTGTACAGGGTGGGAAAAAAATTTACCAGTTTTACAATAAATATTCTATTGGCTAAAGATACCAATAAAACAATTTTTGTTTTTGCAACACAAACTTGAAACAATACATTTAACAGTTTCATAAAAAATTTAATGAAATTAAATTAAGGAAGCAATTAAATGAATGAGAAAATCCCTCATCACGTCCCCTACTAATCTTCTCATTCTCACTGAAAGAGTCATGTTAATGTGACTATTCTCTCTCTCTCTCTTTTAAATGTTATGTTACTTTTAAACTTTGGTTAAAAACCATCACAAACTTTTCCCATCCTGTTTATATAATTGAGAGAGCAATGGTGCAGAAGAAAAGCTTGCAACTGAGGACTCTTAAGTTTATCAGGCGACTACAATACCATTATGTTAATGATATTTTCCAGACATTGTTTGCGTCAAAAATGCTGTTCTAAAATGCTGCTCTAAAATGCTGTTCTAAAACAGTTCTAAGATAGTTCTAAAACACCCTCTAAAACATTTCTGTAAATCACAGATCTACAACACTGTTCTAAAAGACTTCTAAAACACAGTTGTAAAACACTGTTGTAAAACGGCATTCTAAAACAGCGTTCTAAAACGCCGTTCTAAAATACTATTCTAAAACACTGCCTTCCAGGTAAGACTAAATAAAATTCTTTAGCACATACGTAATAGATCATCTCTTTTTATTTACTATATGTACATTAGACAACCGTTATTACACAAAGTTGTACTTCTGTACTTTCCATGTATTTTCCCATGCCAAATTTAATTAATTAAGAATATAAGAAGTTCCTAAGATATGAAAGTGAACGTAAGGGAAAATGTGGCAAGAATGTGGTCACTGCATAGGAAGTAGCAGAGAATATGACAGTTTTTTATGCAAGTAATTATTAAAAAGAAGGCACCAAGCTGGGAACACTATTGAACACCAGATTGTTTTTTTGCTAAAAATGCATGAATTGAACAAATCTACAAGGGCCGTGACGAGGATTCGAACCTACGTCCGAG